TGAGTGAGCACCACCTCAAGTGCATACTGGGGTTGGTGTGTTGCCCTCTTGAGTGTTTTTCTTGGGCTGCCTCTACCTGTTGCCCAGTTCCTTCCAGATGAGCCTCTGAATCAACAGTTTCCTACTTGTGACAGCAAGTCAGACCTCTGGAAATCCTCCCTTCTCCAAGGAGCCGTGGGCAGTCCAGGAGAGGGGGATAGTTACTGCTGCGTTTGCTGGAGCGTGGAGCATAGAATGGGTTGGGTTGGAAGGGACCTCCAAGTTCCAAGCCCCAGCATGTTGAGGTGTGGTGAGAACCGAGCTTCCTTTGGGCTCGCTTCCCAGGTTGGTGTTGCAGGGCTGTCTGAGGAGCTGCTGGAGCAGAGGATATCCCGGTGATTAGTAGAATCTCTTGCTAATTGCAGCTGGCACTTATCCCCTGAGTGCGGTTTGCAGGACAGTTTGCAGTCTCTGTCGTGACCTCTGGAGAGCCGTACAGCACGAGACTGAGCGAGAAACACTTGTTCAGACTGGATTTACCAGAATCATTTGATAATGCTGGATTTATGATTCTTTTTTTAAATGTAGAGCCCAAGCCCCAACAAGATTTTCTCGTCATTTTGGTTAATCAGCCATCTCCTTCAGACCACTGTCTTGAAGATCTAAGCCTAAAGCCCTTGCGTTCTGTGTCACGCTTTTTTGGAAGGGTTGGTGGCTTAGTGTGTTATGGCTGCTGTCCCAGAGATGACTGCTTCTGGAAAAGAAAGGAAAATGAGAAGCACTCTGCTCCTGTGATTGTGACAGGCACTTTCAGAACAGAAACCTGTTTCATAAGTTGCCTTCAGAAACCTGCAATAATTTTTGCTCCACTGAATTCGACCATCTGGCTCCCTGTAGCCCGACTGGCACCTTTCCTGGTTTACTGGCTGTTGCTGGGCGTCATTTGGCATCTGAGATCTTCATTTCTTCACTTTCTAATTTAGACATCTGGCTTTTCTTTTCTCCTTTCACCTCAGTGACAGCGAGATGGAAATGGAGGCTGAGCATTACCCCAACGGAGTCCTGGAAAATTCATCCACCAGGATAATGAATGGCACCTACAAACACGAAGAGATCCTGCAGACGGATGAATCCAGCATGGGTAGGGCCTCAGAGGCAGGAGGGGTAAAGGGAAAGACAAAGATCTGGTACAAGAGTTAAAATTGTGATTGGGTTGTGGGGAAAAAAAAAAGGAACTTTGGGTTCCTTTCCCCACTCCAGTGAGTGAAGTTCTCGAGATGCCTGTTTCATGGGGAAAATGAATCTGTCCTGGAACTAAAACCAGGTCTGGCTTTTCATAGTCTCTCAGCAGTGCTGGTGGTGGTGTGGAGCAGAGGAAGCGATAGGAGTCAAAGGTTTGTTCAGCACTGGTGATGAATTCCAGCTCAGAGCAGTCCTGGCACTTCCAGCTAGCAACCTGATCTAGTTGGAGATATCCCTGTTCCTTGCAGGGGGGTTGGACTAGATGACCTTTGAAGGTCCCTTCCAGCCCTAACCGTTCTGTGATTCTATGATTCTTCCAGCTGCAGAACTGAACGGAGCGGTGAGGGGCTGGCTGGTGCCCAGCCAGAGCCCTCAGCACAGCGTGGTCACCTACAACTGTCCTGTTTGTGGGTGCTTCAGCCAGGAGGGAGAGGATGAATTAGCTGCACTGCCTCTGAAACTGGGGATTCCTCCAGTTATAATGGGTCTTGTGGCCACCTAATACTGGGAAATTGGTGGTGTTGGCGTCTCAGGCTGAAAGCTTTCCGAGTCTGGTTTGTTAGACCAGGGGTTTCCGTGTTGTGTGTGCTGTGTCGCACACAAGACAGGGTAACGCAGCTGGGGTTCCGAGCTCCGGTGATTTTCTTGGAATACTTGATTCGTAGATGATCCTCAGGCAAACAAACCGAGCTCAAGTTTTCCCCGTACCTGACAGACACTATGGAAAAACCACTCTGGCTGTGGTAGTGCAGGGATCAGCAAAAGCTTCCGCTGGGATAAACTCAGAGCAGGGAGCAGCTTCCTGCTCCAGAAAGGGAAGGAGTTTATGAGTGGCATGGCACAGAACGGGCAGTGGTGGGGAATGAGAGGTGATTGTTACTTCTCCACTGCCTTTCCTCTAGAAGACAGCTGCCCCCAGAGGCAGCTCTGTGGAGGGAACCACGCTGCCACGGAGCGAATGATCCAGTTTGGACGGGAGCTGCAGATGCTGAGCGAGCAGCTTTGCAGAGAATACGGGAAGAACACAGTGCACAAAAAGATGCTTCAGGTAAGCCTGGGCCTTGTGCTGCGTCACAGAAGTTCTCTGGGCCACGACTGGGGATGTGGGTGCTCTTGCAGAGCCCCGGGTGGTCCCCGCTTCCGCACCTGGTGAGGAAGAGGGGGCCTGCATGGGGATCAGAGGTTGAATCTCAGTGAATGTAGAACATCTAGAGCCAGTTCTCGGCACAGGAGAGAAGAAATAGAGCTGCTGCCTGCCTTCGCTCTTCTCTCCAGCCGACACTCTACCTGCCTTCCCGCGCTGGCTCCTCTGCCAGGCGGAGCGGGCACCCTCTTTAATCCTCTGTCCTGATGGCCCAGTGCAGTCCCTTGCTGCCAAGAAGGGCCATTTCTTTTCAGGAGATAGCACCTGCCACCTTGGCGATGGCAGGAGGTGCCCCAGCTGATGGACTTGGTGGTTTCTCCCGTGCGTTTCAGCCATGCATGACCTCACTGTGCCTTTCTCTTCTCTCCTACAGGACGCGTTTAGCTTGTTAGCTTACTCAGACCCTTGGAACTGCCCCGTCGGGCAGCAGCTGGACCCGATCCAGAGGGAACCTGTGTGTGCTGCTCTAAATAGTGCTATATTGGGTAAGGCCTGGTTCCTCAGCGAGCCCTACCCACTGGACATACCTGCTGCCAAGGGCGGTCCTGTGGCAGGCAAGCCTGGGAGCGTTAGGAAAAGTTCAGAAATACTTGTGTTTAGTTTTTGCCTCTCCTTCTGTGGCCGTGGACTGACAGGGCAGTGATGCAGGAAGGCAGGTGAGAAGGGAAGCCTGCAGAGAACAGATCCACCTAACTAATCTTCTTTTGGCTCCCTTCTTTGGGTCTTCCTCAATGGTGCTTCCAAGGATGCTCCTTGGGATTTTCCTCCCCTGCTTACTGAGGAAGCCGAGATCTCATAGATGCATTTCCTGCCCCTCTTCTTTCTTCCTCCAAACCCACCTGAATCAGTTTGCTGGCATTAGCAGGGGTCTTTTCCATGCTGTTTGGCTTTGCAGAGTTTTATCCTGGCATCGTTGTTGCTCTGTTGCAGCAACTCGTAAGCGAAGCAGGTTTCCATAGTGTTGGCTCTAAAGCAAAGGGGGGCCATAAATCCAGTTACCTTTGACCTCACGTTGGACCTGCAGAGTTAAATGGGTCTGTCTTCCCTTCGAGCATTGTCTCTACATGTTCCCATCGTGTGCTGTGCCTCCTAGAGCCCAGAGAGCTTGGCTGCCTGCATCCCAGTGTTGGAATCGGGGCTGTGGGAACGGTCCGGCCCTGTTTGTCTTTCATTTCTGATCATAACTGTGCTGAGAGGAGCCCGCTCTGTCCAGAGGTCTGGTTACAGGTTGGTTTTCTTCAGCTAGCAAGACAGGTCCCCTTTTTCTGATGAGCTTTGCTCTTTGTGTCATGGTTGGAGGGTCATGGTTGGAGCCACGTATGAGCAGTCTCTTGCCCTCCTCTGCGTCCTCGAGAGCTGAATGTTTATGCCTGTTCTTCTGTTTTCCTTAGACAAGAAGGTTCCTTGGCCCAACGGCTCATTGTTGTTTACTCTCTTATCTTGAACCTGGTATAGTAAATGCGGTAGCTTTCCCTCATGGAAGTCTTCTGCTTGCAGTCAAGAAGTTGCCACGTCATTGCTGACCCTCCTGGCACCTTCAGCTGTAGAAAATCCCATGGTGGAGAAATGGGTATAGTGATAAGGAGGTTATGGCTGGGTTCATCCTAGGCAGGGCCCTTGATCTTGTCACCAGACCCTGCACGTGCTGCAGCCTCGGTCGAGGAACTTCACAGGACACTCTGCAGTCTGGCTTAGCTCAGTCCAGCCACAACTGGCCAAGCACTGTCCACTGGGCAGCTTCATTGGGTCTGCACACCTCACGTGGAATGTGCCAGAAGATTTAGAGATTGTCTTCTGGGGGAAGGAACAGCTTGATGGACAAAGCCATGAGGGCTCCTGTTCTGCCTGAGTAGAGGAACAGCAATTACATGGTTTGGGAAGGAGAGTCCCTTCCCCTGACAGTCAGCGTGGGCAGGTGTCCAGCAGGGTGGCTCAGTTCTAGCCGTTGTTTGTCCAGTGCTCGAGTGGCGTGGACAAGCTGCTGAGGGGTGTCACCAGGGAGACGTGAAAGATGGTGTCTGGGCGGGCTTCGTCACACAGGTTGCAAGACACCTTGTCTGGCTCAGCTGAGGATTCCCTTTTGCTTACACAGCAAATGAAGTTGGAAAGAAGCAGTGACCAGTGAGTGAGTTTGGCCAGGGCTTGGACAGCACGAGTGGGAGGGATGGACAGGTTGCCTCTCACTCGGTGCCGGTTTCTCCTGCCTTTCCTTATTCGTCCATGTTTTGATCTCTCGTGCTTTGAGAGTTTTCTGGCGGACACAGAGGCAGCAGGAGCTCCAGTGCCTTTTTCTTGCTCTGGCCACCACAGCAGGACTTTCTCAAAGGCCCTGTTGAGCTGTGGCCCCAGGTGGGACATGTCATGGGCGGTGGGCTGTGTGGAGGAGCAGTGGTACTCAGGAGTAACTTACTTCCAGAGCCAGCACCTTCTGCCTGGGATACCGTGCTCGGTGGCCAGATGGGACATGGAGGGACCCTCAGCCAGGACGCCTCTTCTAAACAAGATTTCTTTTTTTGTCCCCACAGAATCTCAGAACCTGCCAAAGCAGCCCCCGCTGATGCTTGCCCTGGGCCAGGCCTCGGAGTGTTTGCGGCTCATGGCTCGCGTGGGCTTGGGCTCCTGCTCCTTTGCCAGAGTAGACGACTATTTGCACTAGCCACCAGAGCAAGATGGAGTTGACATCGCTGAGTGCTGCCCTTCACCCTCCGTTGCTGCCACTCTACACCACCACCACCTCGTTCGATAGCCCGACCTTCCTGCCACCAACACCCCTCCAGCACACACACACACACACACACACACACACACACACACACACAGAGCGAGCGAGA